ATATATATATATATATATATATATATATATATATATATATAGTTCCTTTTAATATCAGGTAAAAATAAAATACGGAATCAAGATTTAAGTTTGTTTAAATCAGTGTTATTTATCAACTAAAAATGCAGTGTAAAAACACCAAATAAATTGACTTTAGTGACCAATTTAATATGAAACATTTCATAACACTTGCTTGTCATAACGTGGTAAATATTTGAAGGTTTTTGTACTCCTAATACTACAAGGTTAAGGATCCATTTACTTTGTGATTACAGTATCTGTGATCTCACTTACCTAATTTTTTCTGTTTTTGATGCAGTGGAAGTAGGAGTTGATCCCTATTCTGTCTTTAGTCCAGATTGTTACTTTACGCTATTCTAGTATTTTTCAAAGTGAAGGACTAGTACCTGTTGTGGTACTCCATGAAGTGAATTTACCAGAAAAATACAATGTGAGTGTTCTGCTAACATTACTATTAAGTGCACCTTGGCAGGTAATATATTTGCATACTGAGCCATAAGTCTGAATATACACAAGTATTTTAGGTGCATTGGGAAGCACATTATCAAAATGAAGATGGGTCTAGGCATTGGTAAGCAGCAGACACGGATTAAGGCAGAATGAGGCCTGAGGCAAAGTAAACTTTGCCCCCCACCCATCACTTCAGCTGATGTTGAAAAGGATAGTAATAGGCACAGATAAGCCACCGCACCTGCTATGTTTGTCCTGCCATTGTCCTTACCTAGCAGAAACTTTTTACATAGAAGTGCATCCTACCTTGTAAAGAAAAGGCTGGTGCAGCCTAGGTCCCTATACCCTTGATTGACATTGTTAAAGCAGTACCACAGCCAAATATGTAAGAATGAATAACCAAGAAAAACAGCTTTTGCTACAATACTGAGCTTCAATCCCAAGATTTTCTCCACAGTGCTTTTTTTCTACTGCTAGATTCCACCCACTTCCATTGCGCCCAAGACATTCTAGATCTGCCCCACCCTGTGACTGGACAAGGAAAAAAGAAGCAGCACAGTAATGAGCTAATTTCTTTGTTACTCTGCTTTCTCCTCAAGAGCATGCTTCTTGTCAACAGATGAACTGCTTGGCCTCTTTTACTGCTTAATTCTTTCACAGTCCAGCCCTGCTGTACAGGGAATGCAAGATGCTGATGCCAGGTTAAATTCAGCTACCTACACTGCTAGCATTTAAAAAAGATTAAATTATGATATATCAATGATTACAGAGCTATCTTAAATAGTATCTTTTTTTTATCTGCCAAAAAGAAGCGCTAAGGTGTAAAAGAAGCGCTGCAGGATGGGAAAAATGTTACATTAGTTAATTTCTTTGTAAAGTACATAATTCTTTGACAGATGTGTGAAAAAAATAATGTTTCTCTTTTCATTTAATATTAAAAGTGCTCTTCGGTCTGAATAGAAGGCTATATGGACTTAAGAATATTCCATGTAGCTATGAATAGAGGCCCAACCTTCCCAAACTCCTGGAAAGTAATTGTACAAACTGACTTGGTCTGCCACAGACAAGGTTCCCTAAGGTAGGTAGGGATCATTCCATACTGCCACACAGAGATATCAGAATCTGGTTTTACTTTAAAGTAGAGAACCCCTTTCAGTAGTATGGAACTGTGCCTGATCTATGCAACATTAGTCCTTTACACTTTGTATGTAATTTTTAGCTTGTAAATAGATGGTAATTATAATTTGTCATTATGTTTTTATTTATTCAGGAGTTACCCCGCAAGGATCCAAATGAACCGTTTACTGAAATTATCCCTAACCCACTGCCCAGCAGCAGTCCTGTTTCTACTGGGACATTAAAGAGACCTACAAGCTTAAGTCGCCATGCCAGTGCAGCAGGAATCCCTTTAACCTCTTCCAGAGTCAAGACCGTCAAACCATCCGGTGTACCAAGTCCACCTGAAAGTGGAGAGGGACCCTTTATTGATGTGGAGGACATTTCACAACTTCTTGGAGATGTAGCAAGATTTGCAGAGCGTCTGGAAAAACTAAGGGATGTGGTACTGACAGATGGTATGTATGTTTTAAGAAGAGAAAATGAGCAAGAAAATACATTTTATATGGGTGTAGAAAATGTTTTCTACCTAGCAGGAATTTAAGGAGATTCTGTCATTTTGGAGCCTTCGGAAAAATACCTGGTACTTTGGGGAATGGAAGAAAATGTGACCTCCTAAAATGCAGTGCTTATGCCTGAGCAACCAGTTGCCAAGCCTGATCACTGTGATCTGATGAGGAGGAAGAAGTTACTTCTTAAAACCTTTTACACCATCTGACATTGAACTTACACACGGTTAGGACTCCTGGCTCTAATGATAGAAAAGCGCAGCAGGGGAGCACATTGAAGATGAGTATCAGCGGGTGGGTTTCTTACAAGACAACCTGCCACTATGCTCTGTATGGACAAATTGGCAGAGTATCTTTAAAACAAATCCTAAAGCAGTTACACACTCAAAAATGTTCTGTTGGCTAAAAGCATTAAAGAATAAGTGCATGTTTAAAATCACTAATCTAAACTAACTCACTTTCCCCCTCCCCAGATATATACTTATCTTTGGTGCTTGTTTATATCCTTTTCAGAACATTTTCTGTGCACAGAAGCTTCCTATATACTTCTGTGGAGCTGTGCCCTGAAGCTAAAGATGCTTGGGTGATGTCTAGTCTACAAAGAAGGCTATGGGAAGTTACTGCACAGGAGACTTTCAGCACAGGATGTAAACAAACGCCGGAGGCTGCAGCCCCTGGATAAGGTAAGTATTATCTAGGGAGGTGGAGGGTTGGCTAGTTTTGGTCAGGGAAGAAGGGGAAAATGATAAGTACACTTTCGTTTAAAGTGTATTTACTCTTTAAAGGAAGGTTTTTACAGCTCAAGATCAAGTTATTTTATTTTATTGTTCCATCCCTATCTAACAGAACTTAGAAACAGGCAAATTTAAGATAGCATTTATCTAATACCTAGCTTGATTAGAAGCACAGCTTTACAAATGTCAGATGCAGTTTTCAAACCATCTGTCCATTTTTGTCCTAATGGACAAGAATAACTGGCAGTAAAGATGACGGTAAAATTTTCATTTTTAAATCTAAATGAACTACATGCTAACACAGTCAAACATTGAAGACCAGCAAAGATCAATTATAACTTGACTGATAGGAAAGAGCTATTGATAGCATCAGATATCTATCTATATGTGAAAGATGTAGGTGCTTATGGTTATGTTTCATATAAAATGCTTATCTCAAGAGAGTGCTGCTACTATTTAATTGATAGTAGATTCAAGGATTATTGCAATTTTCAATGTGAAAGTGTTGTTGTCGTCTGAAACAAAAACAGAAGAAATGTTTTTTACAATCTAGCAATTACACTGTTTGGTGTATTTACACATTTGGGTGTATTTACTATGCCATGTACAAATGGCATAATGGTACCAAGTGCTATAGCAGCCAGCATTCATTGGTTATTTAACCCACTTTTACATGGTTACTGCTGTTGGCACTGCTATACTAAACAGTCCTTGATATTTTCTGCATGATGTCAGATTATATTCCTATGTCAATAATCATGCATAACTATCCAATACATTATTCGTATGTATTAAAGTGCATCTAAAGGCTCCTGTATGACAGTCTAAAATGTCCCAAAATAACTGTGTGATGCACATGCCTCAATAAGTATGCAAATGTCCTTTACCTCCCTGACTGAGCCAAACCTTCCTTCATTTATGTCTCATACGCTCCCCCTTCAGACACTGCAGCTCACAGTGGGAGGGTTTTAACAACAGAGGCAGTGCTGTCAATCCTGAAAGCAGTGGGCAGGAATAAGTGTACCCCGAAGCTATTTGACAAGCTGGAGTCTGAATCATCAGTGACCATGCTAATAGCCACGCCCCCTATAACATTTCATCCCACTGTAGTACAAGAAGACACAACCTACATGAAAGTCACAACTTTGCTCTGAATTCAGGAGCATTCATGGGAAGCTGAATCAAATGGACTTCACTGGCAGGGTCAACAGGTATTTGTAAGACTTTACAGGGGAGTTAAGAGAAAAGGCCAAAGTTCTTCTAGAACCCCACACTCCACACTAGATGTGGCACATGGTAACTAGGTGAGCCAGCATACCTAGTAATACAGTGACCAAGGTACACATAACTGTCGACAACAAATTTCAGGAGTGTAACCTTTGGTTATAATTGATGTACAGTCGTTGTATTGATGACTACTGCAAACTAACAAATGAGGGAAATTAGAAAAGTGCCGCTGTCTAAGTGCCGCATTGTGTGGATGTCAGCTGAGTAACATAGGGAAGAAGGTGGAGGTGTAACCCAGAGAGAAACCGGTATATGCCGAGATGGGAAGAAAGGTATACCAAAAATGGAGGGGGGGTTGAAAGGATATCGAAAATGGCCAAAGGAATTGAAAGGATTACTGGGGCGGGTTGAGGGGGGGGGAGGGGGGATGAGGGAGAACTGGGGGAAGATGGAGGGGTGGGGGGGGGAGCATCCCCTATCAAATATTAACTAGAAACTTAATCTGCAGAGCAGTAGTAAACAAAAGAAAAACACTGCACATATTTCCAGGCTCATGCCAGGGATTTAAACCAATACATTCCCATATAAATGATCCATTTCGTCTATCTGTTTCTGAAGGAGTCCTGGGCATCATGGAATATTAATTCCTCCATTCTAATTATATGGCATAATTCTGATGTCCATTGCTAAACAGCGGGGACTTTGGTGGAGTACTGTTTCTAGGTGTTCTACCTGCACAAATAAAGAATCTAAGCAGAGATTTTTTTGGGCAGCGAAGATAGAGCCAGGCAAAGCCTAGAGGAGGGCAATTTCTGGGGTAAGTTCAATCACAGGAGGAGGAATTTCAGAAATCGTATCCCAAAGGGTTTTTATGAGGAGACAGCTCCACCATATACTATATGTATGAGCATGCCCACCAGCAAAGGTCAGATTTGGCTGATCAGATTAGGTGTACCAGATCCAACAGTTTAAAGTTTCTTTCTTAAATAGAGTAATATTCAGCTCTCTCCTATTTTTTTAAGCAGTACAAGCCATTCCCCTTGAAAAGCATATAAGATGGTCAGATATGTCACCAGACTTACACATTTATTCAAAGGAGGTCAGCTGTCTATGTAATTGCTGCCTATTGTTCATAGCATTTGCAAAATGTGTGAGCTGAAGATATTTGGCGCCAGGCGTCTCGACGGGGTTAATGAGGGTGAAATGCTTGAGTAATTTCCTGGATAGAGTGGTTCTGAAGGTACTGAGCAAGATATGTAGGTGTAGGGGAGAGTCAGTATAGGGAAAATGGTACTCCTCGTGCAGGTGGAAAATCCGGGTGGGCTATAATAGGTAAACAATCAGAAAACAATCATAGTGGTCCTCCGAACTTTGAGCACTGATAGTACAAAAAATGCAAGGGGTTTTGGAAGTTAGGAGGGGGCCTGTTAAAAGAATGGGTGAAATGTCATATTCCAGTAAAACTCATAAATTGCTATTTGTGAACCAATCCAGCATGTGTGCAATAGGGGTTGATTTGTTGTATAATTCTTACTTCAGTCAGAGCCGCATTCCCATGTTCTTTTTTCTTAATGAGGTTTTTATATCCAGGTCAAGTTTACTTTCCTCCCTAAACATACACTATATTACCAAAAGTATTGGGACGCCTGGCTTTACACGCACATGAGCTCTAATGGCATCCCAGTCTTGGTCCGTAGGGTTCAATATTGAGTTGGCCCACCCTTTGCATCTATAAAAGCTTCAACTCTTCTGGGAAGGCTGTCCACAAGGTTTAGGAGTGTGTCTATGGGAATGTTTGACCATTCTCCAGATGTACATTTGTGAGGTCAGGTACTGATGTTGGACAAGAAGGCTTGGCTCGCACTCTCCGCTCTAATTCATCCCAAGGGTGTTCTATCGGGTTGAGGTCAGGACTATGTGCAGGCCAGTCAAGTTCCTCTACCCCAAACTTGCTCATCCATGTCTTTATGGACCTTGCTTTGTGCACTGGTGCGCAGTCATGTTGGAACAGGAAGGGGCCTACCCCAAATTGTTCCCACAAAGTTGGGAGCATGAAATTGTCCAAAATGTCTTGGTATGCTGATGTCTTAAGAGTTCCCTTCACTGGATCTAAGGGGCCAAGCCCAACCCCTGACAAACAACCCCACACCAAAAATTACAAACATTATATAGATCTGCCAAATTGGAAAATACGTGTATTCCTAAGTATATTAAATTATCCATTTGAGTAGGAATGAGACTTGTAGGGGTTCTGTTAGGGGTAGGGATTTATTTTAAAGCTTCACTTTCTAATTGGTAAGTTAGCCATGAGTTGTGAACTCTTGTAATAAGGAAGAGAGACCAATCCTTGGATTAGCAAACTGGAGGAACAAATTATCTGCAAATAATCCTCTTTTGTGGGTGTGTGAACCGAGTGTTATTCCCTGGATGGAGTCATTTAGACAAATGGCATTGAATGAATGTTCCATCGCTAGGATATACAGATAGGGCAGCAGTGGGCAACCCTTGCCCCGTCCCATTCCCAATGGAGAACGGTTCAGAGACAATCCCCTTTAAACCTTATGCTGGGAGAAAGGTGTATAGGACCATTATTTTATTAACTAATTCCAGGGGGAAGTCCGCTTCCTATGGCTCCTCTTCACACACTGTTTTGGTGCCCACAAACCTGCCTTGTGCGGCACAGGCTAGGTTAGGTGGTGCAGGGGGTTCAGGTATGCCCTTAAGATCTGTACTACAATTTTATATTTTTTGTTGGCGAGTTCAGACAAATGTAATCTCCCGAATACATTGGCTGGGTATAATTTAGGACCCACCTAGGGGTTAGTTCTCATGACTATTGAAAATGCTAGTTATTGAACACAGAGGCTTTCCAAATTGAGGCCAATCTCTTCCTCCTCTCAAGTAATTGAATAAGTAGACTGCTTCTGTCAGACAAATTGCAAGACACATTGTGACAGGTATATGTGTCTCCAATAGATGGGCAGACAT